TCTGTACTCAGAATTATTGTTATTTTTCCCACTTTGGGAGATTGGATCATTTTTGTTTCAGAAGCCAGGATACCCTAGTCAGGCAATGCTGGGTTTATGAGTTCAACTTCATGGTGAAATAAAAGTGAATCATGTGGATGACAAAAAATGACTTCACTTATTAGAGACACTCATTGGTAGGAAACTCCAGAGCAGATCTGGATTATGCAGGTTTTTGTATTTAAGCCTGGAGATGTAGCACAGATCAGACTGTGTCTAAACCCAGAACCGAGAGAGAAATTGTGCTGTTCCCAGCATATTCAGATATTAAGAACAAAGAGCTATATGCACATGAGACTGTGTTATCAAGACGTCTCCCCATGACTGAAGAATAAGGGATAAAGAATGTGATAATTTTCTAATATAAAGAGAATATAGAAACAAACCAAAATTCTGCTGATGGCACAAAAATATTGGAGCCCCCAACGTGGAAAACTGCTACTTTCTTACAAGGTTTAGGACCAACTCACCATGAAACCAGCCATTTCAATACTAGGTGTATCTCTAGGTGAATTTCAAGCTCACGTTCACTGAAAACACTGTGTGCAGGTGCTCGTGGGGCCTTCACACATGCTGTAAAGTGGAAACAAGGGCTAAACCCAGAGCTCAGTGCAGGGCCGTGTGCTGATGGCGTCTGAGGTACTAAGTCCTGCATTGTAGCCCTTGTCATGGGATCCAAGAAAACAGAGTCACTCAGTCAACACTGGAAAATACAGGTCCTCCATGTTTCCTCAGATGCCAGCAGTTTCCTGTCCCAGGATTATGTCTTGTGTGTGTGTAAGACAATACTTTGACAGAGGAGGGTTTGGATGCAGATATGATACAAGAGTGTGGGTCTCTGCATATGTGCATGTGCACCTGTGTGTCCACGTGTGTGTGCATGTCCCTGCAGACAGACGGGAGCCCTGGTTACATGTGTGATGATAGCTTTCTGGACTTCCATCATCCTTCTGAATTTGGACAATATCAGCTAATTTTCTTTATCAAAATCACCCAATTCTATAAAGAAATATCTAATGGGATCATTTATTAAAATCAATGTCTTCCCCATCATCAATGGAATCTATACCCAGGATTCTGACTTCCCTGCGGCTGAGGGCTCAGTGCCAGTTTCATCACCCACTTCCCCCCTGGTCATGCTTTCCTACTTCTGGCAGCTAAGACCCTCGCCTGTATGGATGAGTCTAGACCAGAATCCTTCAGGTGCTGCAGGTCTGTGGTCAGAGGACAGCACAGCTGGGTGGGGAGTGCTTGTGGTGCAAGAAGCAGTTTGAAATAATGAGCCTGAATCAGGATGGGAATGACCCTCAGTCTTCACACCTGGCAGTTCACACTCTGAAGTTTAACACCTGGGATTTTGCAGTTCATCCAAGAGTTCCAGTTGGACCTTTTCCCAGCTCTCATCCCACCTGGAGACGTCAAATTCAGGTACAGTGAGGCTTGGTCACATTTCCCACGTCACATAGTGTTTCTATCCCGCTATGTGAAGATTTCAACCTGCAACACTGAGGTGAGATTTATACCACATTACACAGATTATAACTTACATAAAAATAAAATGACAAAGTATATAACAAGCATTTATTACAGCACAATCACAAGTAAAGAGATTTTCTTGAATGCAATTATTTATAGAAAGACATTAAAATATTGACACTGTTAAAAAAAATTCTCAAGAACACTGCTTACATACTACTGGTAAACACAGTAACACTCAAAATCATCATGATCTCATCACCGAACGGGGTCTGGGAAACCTGACCAATCTTGTCCAAAACTCTCTTGATGCTGACTCTGCATCACTTATGTCCAAGAGGAGGAGCACAGGTGAAAATGCTGGACAAACTCTCACCTAACATGTGTCCCTGCTCAGACCACATGCGCTCCCCATCTGGGGGCTGCGTACATCACCAACGTGGGAGGAACTCTGGCACCAACATCACAGAATCGGTGTGCCATTGTAAAAAATAATTCAGGTTTTAAGGGTTTACCCTGAAATCTCACACAATAAACATGATGTTTCCAAATGCTACCAACACCAGCAAACCACAGACACTCACAGCTGCTCAGGGGCCTAGCCCTCTCTGAGGCCAGCAAGGCCCCGACTTTTTATATAGTGAGATGACATGCAAATAGGGCCTCCCTCTGAGGATAAAGCCACCCAGCCCTGGCCCTACAGCTCTGGGAGAGGAGGCCCAGCCCAGGATTCCCAGCTGCTCCCGTTCTCTGATCAGGACTGAGCACAGACGACTCACCATGGAGCTGGGGCTGAGCTGGGTGGTCCTGGCTGCTCTACTACAAGGTAATTCATGGAGAACAAGAGCTACTGAGGATGTGGGTGGTTGTGAGTGAGGGAATCAGGACGTGTGACAGTCTCCTGACCAGGATGTCTTTGTGTTTGCAGGTGTCCAGGCTCAGGTGCAGCTGGTAGAGTCTGGGGGAGGATTGGTGCAGGCTGGGGGCTCTCTGAGACTCTCCTGTGCAGCCTCTGGACGCACCTTCAGTAGCTATGCCATGGGCTGGTTCCGCCAGGCTCCAGGGAAGGAGCGTGAGTTTGTAGCAGCTATTAGCTGGAGTGGTGGTAGCACATACTATGCAGACTCCGTGAAGGGCCGATTCACCATCTCCAGAGACAACGCCAAGAACACGGTGTATCTGCAAATGAACAGCCTGAAACCTGAGGACACGGCCGTTTATTACTGTGCAGCAGACACAGTGAGGGGAAGTCATTGTGAGCCCAGACAAAAACCTTGCTCCCTGGGGCACCCACAGACCCCAGGGGGTGCTCACGACCCACCAAGGGCAGGGCTGAGCCCCAGAGCAGTTGCAGAGGTGTGGGAGGAGATTGCAGTTAGAATCCTTGGTTTCCTTTTCCCGCCCATCAACTCTACTACAGACCCTCTGCTGGATTCTAAATTTTCATTGTTGAGGTATGTGTTGCTGTCTGACAATAAT